TAATTTGGTTCAAACACACACATGTTTTGCAGCCACAGAATATCGTATATTTTCATGCAAGAAAAAAGCAATTTGGCAATTTGTTTTAATTTTAACTATTTTTATTAGGTTTAAAATTAAATTTTTATAATAAAAGTGTATAATATTAATATATAACACGATTGAAAAAACTTTGTTTGTCGAATCTGAACATAAAATATTTCATGTTAACAAACAGCAATGCGGATGATTTTCATAAAACAAATTGATTTGCTGGCAAATAAATATTTTCTCATTGTTTCATCAATGTGAACACCAAAAGTCAAATAATTTACGTCATTTTGGTAAAATAATTATTTGATCTTGCAAACCAAATGTAAGATCAAACAGCGTCAATGACAGCTGTTCTTTGTTTATTTTCTGAAAATGAGTGTTATCACCTCATACAAAAATGTAAATAGTCGCTTATATGACTGGTTTTATTTTATTTTTTATAAAATATAAATCCGAGACAAAGTTGTGACATTTAATTGAAATTCAAGCAATTGCGTAAATTAATGATAATTATAATTTTTGTTGTTTGTTTTGTTATTTATTGGTTGGTAACAACATACTATATATAGTTATGCTACATAATATATGCATCTATAGCCTAGTTTGCAGTCTAGTCCAACGGTTCTCAAATTACAATTAAATAAGAGATACTGTTATCCCGGAGTATGAAGTTAGGCCACATTTCATAATTCAAGGACAAGCTTATCGCAGATTTAAGTTTGTCAAATTGTAAACAAAAGTGTTCTTGTTTGGAAGGACTAAAATAATATATTCCCGAAACAGAGGTGACTCTTTATTCGTTTTCAATACGTTAATCCAGGTAATTTTAAATATAAACAAGTTAGAGTGCTATATTCGGCTGAGCCGAATCTTAAATACCCTCCACCAGCAACTTTTGTATTAATACATTTCTAATTAATAAAATATTTGTAGAAATAAGTTTTCTCATGTCTTAAATAGAAAAAATCCCAATATTTAAACAGCTTAAATCTACTACAATTCCAAGATTTATTGAACATTAGAAACGCCACTTTCTTTTAAATTTTTAATAGCGCCCTAAGATATGCTTTAGCGATATTTAGTATTTGCATGTATGCATGTGTGTGAAAGATTTAAGGATTTTCAAAATACATACATATATATAATTTTGTTCTACACAAATTGATAATGCAAATAGTTAAATACCGTTAAAGCGCTTTTAGGGGCAGGACCTAGTATGAGAGATATGACCAAATATAGACCGATCGTGAAAAATTTTTGAAATAACATTAAGTGCTTTTTGCATTACAAAATAGTATTTATGAACAAAAATAGTATTTATTTATATCATTATTTGGTAATGAGTTATGTGCCTTTAAGTGTTTTTCTGAAAGGGACCTTGTATGGGAGCTATGATCAATTATGGATCGATAGGAAAACAATTTCACAGTAATATTTCACTGTATATGAGCAATATTTTTGCCAAACTTTATATGGATATCTTAATTTAGTAATGAGTTATGTGCGTTTAAGTGATTTTCGGGAGGGGACCTTGTATGGGAGCTATGACCAGTTATGGACCGATCGGAAAAAAAATTATCTGTAATATTTCTTTGCATATGAGTAATATTTGTGCCATATGGGTATCTTAATTACGTAATGAGTTATGCGCGTTTAAGTGATTTTCGGGAGGGGACCTTGTATGGGAGCTATGACCAATTATGGACCGATCGAAAAAAATTTCACAGTAATATTTCTATGCATATGGGCAATACTTGTACCAAATTTTATATGGATATCTGAATTTAGTAATGAGTTATGCGCGTTTAAGTGATTTTCGGGAGGGGACCTTGTATGGGAGCTATGATCAATTATGGACCGATCGGAAAAAAATTTCACAACAAAATTTCTGTGCATATGAGTAATATTTGTACCAAATTTTATATGGATATCTTAATTTAGTTATGAGTTAAGCGCGTTTAAGTGATTTTCGGGAGGGGACCTTGTATGGGAGCTATGACCAATTATGGACCGATCGGAAAAAACTTTCACAGTAATATTTCTATATATATGGGCAATACTTACACCAAATTTTATTTGGATATCCTAATTTAGTAATGAGTTATGCGCGTTTAAGTGATTTTCGGGAGGGGACCTTGTATGGGAGCTATGATCAATTATGGACCGATCGGAAAAAAATTTCACAACAATATTTCTGTGCATATGAGTAATATTTGTACCAAATTTTATATGGATATCTTAATTTAGTTATGAGTTAAGCGCGTTTAAGTGATTTTCGGGAGGGGACCTTGTATGGGAGCTATGACCAATTTTGGACCGATCGGAAAAAAATTTCACAGTAATATTTCTATGCATATGGGCAATACTTGTACCAAATTTTATTTGGATATCTTAATTTAGTAATGAGTTATGCGCGTTTAAGTGATTTTCGGGAGGGGACCTTGTATGGGAGCTATGTCCAATTATGGACCGATCCATAGAATTTTTCCTCTGAAAGAATTCTATTGACATAAGATTTTAATTTGTAAAATTTTGTGAAGATATCGACATTGTGGCGGAAGTTATTAACAAAAAACCCATTTTCCGGGAATATGTACTTTTGTATGGGAGGTATATGAAATTGTGGACCGATTCTGGCAATTTTCAGCAGGGATCAAGATCTTGTGCAGAAACGAATGTATGGTGATTTCCATGGAATTATCTTGCATAGTTTTCGAGAAAACTACATCAGAATGTGTAAAAAATGCTTATTTTTTTCCGAGGTTGTTTTAAATTTTGATTCATAACTTTTCCCGTTGTGAACCGATTTTGCCCATTTGCAATACCAAACAACTTAGGAAAATGAAGAACATTTTGGGTGAATTTGGTTAAGCTCTATTGCTTCGTTTTATCGTGAGCGTGTTTTACACAGACAGACGGACAGACGGACATAGCTAAATCGACTCAGAATTTGATAAGGACCCAGAATATATATACTTTGTTGGGTCTCAGATGAATATTTCTTGGTGTTACACACGGAATGACAAAGTTATATATACCCTCTATCACCACTGATGGTGGTGGAGGGTATAATATTCCATTCCGACGTGATACACAGATTTTAACTTGATTTTGTCGACCAATATTATTAAATTAACATCAGAAAATGCGTAAATAGTCAAAACCATGCAGTAAAATTCACAGTACTTTCGCAAAGAGTTCAAGTCATATATTATGCGGATAACGCATTCCGCAGCAATTTCGAAGAAGTTCAACTTTCTTATATTATTTTCCCGAAAAATTAGCTAACATACTCAGTTCACCTGTCTGCAATCGCAAAAAATTTTTGCAACATGACGCTTTAAGCACATGTCGACGATATTTGATGAAGAAACCTTTTCGTTACCTTAAAGAAAAATGAACGTGAAAGATCTCACGATCATAAAATTAAACATCATGTTAACATTTCAACAATGAAGTCATTCTATCTTCAAAAACAGGCAATTGAAACTTCTCTGAAATATTAATTATTCTCAATGTACGGGAATAATTTATAGAAATGACATATCTACATCTGTTTGACCTTGGGATTTATGGACTATGACAATTTTCGGATGAACAATTACATATTTAGAACAATAAGATATCAAAATATGTATGGGGGTCCGCGAATTTAAATAAATTCCTCAAGGGGTCCGCAAAGTAAAAACCGGGGGAACCGCTGGTCTAGTCTATAGTCAAGCTATAGTTTAGTCTATAGTCTTGTCTATACTCTAGTTTATAGTATTGTTTATAGTCTAGTCTATTGGTTATAATCTAGTCTATAGTTTAGTAATTAATTGAGAAATTATTTAATTTGTTTATTTCTCAATTTATTTAAACAATTATTTATTATATTAATGGATATAAAAATATATTAATAATAAACAATTCTCTATAATTTTCAATTTTATAGATATGTAATTTAATGAAAATTATTTATAATTTGGTTATTTCCGGGCTTATAGCGATTTTTTTGAAATCGCTATAAACCGTTCCAAACAACCAAGGTTTTTCGCTACATTGACTATACTAAATAGCAACAACATGACAGTAAAGATCCACCATCTATCTCTTTTCCACTTGCACAAGGTATTGAAATGTAATTTCAATACCTTGTGCAAGTCTATCTATCTCTTTTCCACTTGCACAAGGTATTGAAATGTAATTTGTATTTTTTTGTTGTAAAATTTTGATGAAAAACAATATTAAATGAAATTTTAGAATATATAGAAGTTATTATTCAATGATATAGCTTTTTAGTAAATATAAACACATATATTTTTGGCTTTTGGTTTGGTTGCGCATTAGCTGTTCTTGTTGTTATGTTCCTCTTTGCCTGCAAACAAAATCTTGTTTTTTTACTGTTTTATCCGTCAATTGCTTTTCGAAATTATTTGTTGTAATGTGAACACCGGGCAAACAAACTTTTACTATTTGTATTGAATTGTGTTTGGCTTTGTTTTTTCAAACAAAACGTCATAATAGAAATACTCATTTTAAGCACATTATGAAATAAAAATGTATTTAATTTTTTGTTTTTAGGCAGAAATTTCTATGAAATCGTAAAAAATATTATTAAATAGTTTTTTTAACGTTTAACAAAAATGTTTCATGTTTGGTGTTCACATTAAGAAAATATTTGTAGGTTGACAAATAAAAATGTTTCACGAAAAACAGCTGATATTTTGTTTGCTCTTCAAAAATATTTTGTGTTCACATTACAGCCAACAAATATTTGATAAAAAACGTCAAATATTTGATAGGTGTGAACGTACCTTAACACTTTCAAAATTAACGGTTCAATAATTGTATGTTTCAAATACAATTTATAAACATAATAAAAATTCTGGTAAGTAAAATAATATGATGATGATGTGTGTAGTAACTAGATGTCACTAACAAAATCTAAAATGTAAATAAAAAAAATTGTTCGTAACAATACTTACATTTGTTTGAGTATCAACCAATTCTAAGATAAAAAGCTGAGGAAGGCCTCCATTGAAACCATCAGTGCAGGTTACTGTTAGAGATGTCATTGATATATTTGTAAGAGTACAATTGTGAACTTGATCAGGGCGACCTAATTAATAAAAAAAGATCGGTTATAATTGCAAAATAATTAAAAAACTATATTCAATAATGATTGTATTGTACATATCTCAGTATAAAATTGACTCAACTAAAAATTTTATTTTTACGTTTTTATAATCTTTAAGCCTTAAGTTTAAGCCTTAAACAATGTACAAGATATTTGTTTAGCTCTAAAAAATATCAGTGTATTTTGTTGTTGTTAACTGTTGAAGAAAAAACGTTATGTGTTTCTTTATGTTTCAGAATTTGTAAAAAAAGTATCCTTTTTCTGAAAAAAAAATTGCTGAGTCGCTTTTGTACTGGGTGTGTTATTGATATTTAATTTTACTTGAAAATCTGTTAATACGATTCTTTATCCTTGGTGTTACTAACCAAAGATAGATAAAATATGAAAAATGTCTTACATTGTACGAAATGCTTCGATGTTTCCCACCACGAAATTATTTCGTTATACATATATACGAAATTGTACGAAAAAAATATTTATTTTACGAAATATTTTATTCTAAATGTAAATTTAGATAAATATGATGAAATTTACGAAATATTGTTTGTATTATTTTGTCTTAGGAAAATAATTTGTGAATTATATTTTATTCTCGTACATTATGACATAATGTTTCGATGACTCATGCCGTAACAAAATTATTTTTGTAAAATAAAACAACGTATCTTAATATATACTAAAAATAATATTGCAAAAGGTTTTCGTACTTTCGTAAAATAAGAAAAGGTATTGATTAAATATAATTTCGTATTATACACGAAATTTTCGTAAATATTACGAAAAATGTAGTTACGATATTTTTTTACGTGTATAGGGTTTTGACATCGATATGTTACCGTATATTTTGAACGTAAACATTAACAAATTAATTTCTAACAAGTAAGGGTTCTATATGCTGTTCTATATTCCAACTGTAGAACGAAAAAGTACCAGAAAAGCATGTTTGTATAAAAACAAAAAGTACCAGTCATAGAACAAAAATCCTTTCCTACAGATATGCATTAACTAGGACACTTAAATCTTAATTGCATGTTTTTTGGTTCAATATTATTAAAAATTCAAAAGGTACTCTTTGAAGAACAAACAAGTAGGAAGGTATAGTCGGACATGCCCGATCATATGATACCCTACACCATTGAGTATGTTAAAAATGTGGATTATTTTTAATAATAACAGCCTGTTTTTCTAAAACAATTTAGTTCTCACACGAACAACAAAAATAAAATAATTTTACAAAAAAAAAAAAAAAAAAATTGAAATTATGAAAAAATGTTTTTTTTAAAACAACATGAAAATTGTATGCAATGTCTCAAGAAATTTAAAAGTTTGTATTGCAAATTGCATTCAGGTTCAAGTGGCCACATATTATTTCGTATTTTGGTATAATTTTCGTTGTTTTTTGGGCAAACGAAAGGCCTTTGCCTATCGTCTATTTCTGACATTTCTTTCGTTTATTACGAACGAATTCATTTTCTAAAAACCAAAAATATATGGAGAAATAAAGCTCTTTCGTTGTACTCACATGAAAATTAATTTTTTCGTTACAAAGAACGAAGACAAATTTTCATTTTAGAAAAACAGGCTGAAAAGCAATTTGTTAAAAAAAGTGGTTCTCTAAAAGAGGGGTTATGGGCCTATCCTTATAAATTTTGGTACATGGCTTTATGTTTATATTAGAGTTATGTATGCTGGATTTCATTGTGATACTAGTGTTTATAAGTGAATTATTGACCTTCAAGTCATTTTCTGAAGGGAACTTTGTATGGGGGCTAGGGTCAAATAAAGTCCGATAATTACGAAAGTATTATGCAGTATTATTAAGACGAATATGGAACTAAGTTTTGCCGATTTTTGTAGAGATACTACAATATTTAACATAATTATGAACTCCAAAGCCCTTTTCGGGGGTAGGTTTGTATGGGGACTAGGTGAAATAATGGACCGATTTCAACCATTTTCAATAAACTTCGTCGTTGGGCCGAAAACACATATGGTCCAAATGGTGGTTTCATTAAAATACATATCTTGAAAATTGTGACATGCATCTTGCGAACAAGGTTTACATGGACAGCCAGCCGGACGGACGGACATGGCTTAATCGAATCAGAAAGTGATTCTGAGTCGATTGGTATACTATTTTTGTACGTTACAAACATCAGCACAAACGTATAATACCCTCCCCACTAGGTTTCTAGGTTCAATATTATGGAAAATTCAAAAGTATCTTTTGAAGATCGAAATAGTACCAAAAAGTGCCCTTTTATTGGTTATTACTTACTAGGGTATTCAAACGATTAATGGTCGATCGGTTAATAGAACAATTTTTGACGATTAATCGCAAATTTCAAATAACGAATAAACCGAATAATTTCTATCAATTAACCGATTAAGAAAAACTTACTATTTAACAGTAAAATTGCAGTATATTTTATACAAAATTCAATATTTTTATAATACATTTGCTCTCTTTATTAATTCCTTAGACTTTTCGCAAACTATTTAACCGGCACGACGTAAAAAGACCGCAGTATACTGGGATGAGTATCGTAGTAAACTTGGTGAATATAAGAAAATTGTTCGTAAAGCCAAACGAGACTCCTGGAAACTTTTCTGTGAACACGTAGACAGCGTAAATGACGTACAGTGTTGCCACAACAAAATTTTTTTTCTAACCAAAATTCGAATAGTTAGCTAGTTAGTTAGTTAGTTAGTTAGTTAGTTAGTTAGTTTGAAAGGAGGATGTATATACATCAAATCCGAAGAAATACACCTAGGCCTCTATCGGGCCTGTTGTGCGCTCCTTAACCAGTGCCTCAGGTGGGAATCGAACCCACCACCTCCGGTCTACCAGTCTAGAACACTAACCACTAACCTACCGGAGGCCACAAAATTCGAATAAAAAAAATAACCAAATTAAGGAAAAAGTAAACAAAATCATTTTTATTTGTTTCATGTTTACATTTGGACATTAAAATAACAAATTCATTTTCTGAAGTGGAACTTGTAACTATTTTAAATTTCGTCGCTAAACTGGTATTATGAAGACAGTTATGAGCGTTAATGTAATTTTCTGTACGGGATCTTATATGAGACGTATGGTCAATTATGGACCAATTCTCATAAAATCTGACAGAGATATTTAAGTTCCTTTAAAACTTGATTATGTTGAATTTTGTTGCTATATTGCAGTACATTATGAGCTTTAAAGTCATTTTCTGAGGAGACTTTTTATGAGGGATAGAGTCAATTATGTACCGATCCTCATAAACTTTGACAAATTCATTTCCAATAAAACTTTTTTATATTGAATTTCATCGCTATAGAGCGTTAATGTAATTTTCTGTACGGGATCTTATATGAGACGTATGGTCAATTATGGACCAATTCTCATAAAATCTGACAGAGATATTTAAGTTCCTTTAAAACTTGATTATGTTGAATTTTGTTGCTATATTGCAGTACATTATGAGCTTTAAAGTCATTTTCTGGGAGACCGATCCTCATAAACTTTGACAAATTCATTTCCAATAAAACTTTTTTATATTGAATTTCATCGCTATAGATGCTTTTTTAAGCAATATAGTAATTTTCTGAATAGGAAATGTTGACCGATATTCGCATTTTCAATACCAATCAAACTGGGTCAATTAAAAATATTTTGGCAAAATATTTCAGTTTTCTATCTTGTTGCTTTTCGACTCTATCGTGTTTCAACAATAAATATATGTCTCTTCGCGGATTCGTTAACAAATGTAATTAATATTTATTTTAAAAAACAATTGAGTTTTTAACGCGTTTTAGCGCAATTCAAAAGTACTCCACATATGACTTTTTGGAAAACAATTTTAAATTATAAAATTCTTCCCATTTTATGTACAGATTTGGAGATTTCGTTCGAAATTTGGGTTTAAGGGGTATATTTGACCAAATTATAATACCATGTAGCGGATGTTAGCATTACATTCATAACTTCAGCAATATTTGTAAACGTAATCAAATTGACCAAAATTTAGAATTTAAGACGGTAAAATAAAAACTAGTATACAACATCATCTAGAAAATGTAAATAAAGAACTAAAAGTCATGGTGAGATAGTAGAAGTCAAATATCATGAGTATAAAATCTTTGCATATATCGCGATTATTGTTCGTGGTACGAGTTTAGATGTTATTACAACTTTTGTATACAATACAATTTCATTTTCCTTAGCTGTGTTACTTAAAAATATCAGTTGATTAATTAATACTTTAAAGATATTGTGATACTATTCTTGCATCAATTAGCAGAAAATACTTTACTAATTCTTAATAAATCATTTATCTTAGAATTTCGACAAATTAGCACAGTATCTGTTTATGCAAAATTTCATTTTAAATTTAATTTGGAGGACATAATCTACTAAGTACGTAGACTATTCCCACCAAATTCCATAAAAATCGAAATGCGAAATACAGCCTACTTCGTTTTTCATATAATTATCGCCAGTTCTTTACATAAAAAGTTCCAATAGAAATATTAAAGGAAGGACGGACGAGTTTGAATCGACCAAAAAAGTGATTTTAAGTTCATGGATGCACCAAAAGGAGAGAGAAGATTCATTATACACGGTGTTAGATTGACTAGTGTAAATAAAATAATATTACGGTGTTGTTATGATTTAAATCAACTCATTTAATATGTGGAAAACTCATAGGTACTTTTGCTAAATCCTAACCAATTAAGATATCGAAAAATACCCTTGTGCACATAAGTATAACCAGTAGATGTACAAATTGCAGTAATAAAAAAGTTTTTTTTTTTTAATTTTATTTTTAGAATAAAAGCAAACAGCATTTAATTAAATTCTTTGTAAAAAATAAGCAAAACGAAAAAATAATTCACATGTACACATGCATAATAATAATAACCAAAGTGGCAACACTGATGACGTATCGAAGATAAAAAAAATCCTATCCAAAACTCATGTTCAACCGGAAATGTGG